AAAAGGCCGGCAGCGTTGAACAACAACAACAAACAACGGAAACAACAACAACAATGTCATCAGCGATGAATGAACCCCAGACCAACCAAACCTTCCCCGCTTCCTCCGCCGTCGCCAACAGCAGTATGTGTGTGTGTCCCGCCCCCCTTGTCCATGTTCCCTGTCTCTGTGTAGTGCGTGTCTTGCCAGTAGCAGCAGCAGTGTGTGCAGCACGGCGGCAGTGCGTCGTGGTTTCTTCTTGCGTGCGTGTAGCGTGTAGTTTGTTGCCCAGAAAAAAACAAAAAGACGACGCCTCCTGGGGATGCGTCCATAGACATATATATTTGCACAAACGGTGTGCTATCTCGAGACACCGACCACGGATTGCAAAGGTAGCGGTTGGGACAGCTCGGGCAAAATGTTACTTGTTGTGCGCAAGTTTTAGTTTGCAATTTGGTGCCGAGATGGTGAAATGGGCTCGAGTCTGCTGGGTATTTAGGGCGCGCAGACAGACACCAGACACCAGACACCAGACAGCCATGGCTAAATTTTCACGCCCCTGGGCATGAGAACTATTATTTTTCTCGTGCGCACAGACTCCACCCACGATCCCTCTAAACAGCTTTTTTTTTGCAAAACAACAAAACAAAAAGCGCACCCCTAACGGGCCGCACTGTTTCAAAAAAAAAACTATTAAGATACCGCTCTGCATGTGCTGTGCATCGACTTGCAGAATTGTGACTCGGTGAATCGAGAGCTGCTGTGGAAGGTCCTGGCCAGGGCTTGGATGCCCGCGGAGATGATCACCGTCATCTGCCAATCCCACGATGGAAAGCGAGCCCGGGTGCACATGGACGACGGAGAGAAATCAGACTCGTTTTGGGTCACACAGGGCTTGCGAGAAGGGCGTGCGCTGTTCCAACTGCTGTTCAACATCTTCTTCGCCGCAGCTCCCCAGGTCTTTGTCACTCGATTCAGTAAGGAGATGATAAACGCAACGTGGCGCACCTGGCGGACGAGAAAGGGGCGGGGCCAGGACCACCACTTGATCAAGTGCAGAAGGCGGTATGGGGGATGATGTATGCCGATGACGCAGTTGTTGTATCGAAGTCCGCCGAAGGACTGGCGACAATGATGACCGTCATCGTGGAAGTGTTCGGGGAGTGCGGGCTGACGGAGAAGCTCCTGGTGCGCGCCAAGGAGGATAACCACCCAACACCGCAGCCCCCGCCGTCACCGCTCATCATTGAAGCAGCGGGACAGAGGTACGTCCAGATGACTGAGTTCGGGTGTGGCCTCGTCAACCAACATGGTGACCTTACCGTGAGATCGACTGAAGGAGCAGAGAAGCATGGGCATGCGTCAGGAGATGTGGCTGGGAACTCTTCCACAGGCGGAAAGCACCCTTTCGACTCACGACCCGCCTGCTCCACGTGGAGGCGATGGAGGTGCTGCTGTACGGTTGTATGACATGAGCCCCACGTCGTGACCGCTACCGGCTGCGGTGGTCAATACACCACCGGCTTCTGCCGAAATATCAGGTACCAGAGTACGAAGTGCACCTACCGGCAACTCTCCTATGCCAAGACCCTGAGGAGAGTCGGGTGCCAGAACGTGGTGGCCACTGTCCGGCAACAGCGCCCACTGTTCGCGGGAGCACTAGCAAGGCAGCCCGACGGGCGACTCCCTAAACGGCTGATGTTCGGCGAACAGGAGGGGTGGCGGGGCAGACAGCTGAAAACCGGAGTGGAACTGGCTGAGGTGCCTGAAGGACGATTTCAAGCCATTCAGGTCCACACACGGATCCACGGACAACAAAACCTGTTTATCGAGAGTCCCGAAATGAGTTTGGACGGAAGCAGCGAGAGTGGAGCGGAGTGTACCATGGCATGCGGGGGTACGGCAGGGAGCTGAGAGGTTTATGACCGTTTGGCACAAGGACGACGACAAGGATAGTTGACGACGAGAGCTGAAACGAGACAAGTAAACCACCACCAGTACAGAGAGCAACAACGGACGGACGACGTGGCGAGGGAGGTACGTAGACGAAAAGAGGCAATGCGCGTGAAGCGATAAACGCCGAATTGCACTCCATCGCTGATCCCCCTTCCCTCTCCCCGTGAATGCACCATTGCATCAACCCCCCACAGGTGACGACACGCCGAGGCTGTTGCTGGTGGCCGTGATTTTTTCTTGTGATTGTGGTGTTTGTCTTACTTGTCGGTCTATCTTTTTTTTTGCTATATTTCGTTCTCCTTTTTCGATCTCTTTCGTCCTTTTCGTTTCTTCCCCGGATGACCTTCGCATTTTCTCTGCAGTAGCAAGATTCGTCAGGGGCTGTACCTCTCTCTCTGGCCTGTGATGTTGAATTCCAGTGCATTTCTGCCCAACATCGCGTGTGCGAAGAGGGGAGCGGAGGCCTCCACACTATCTGTGGTTGATAAAAAACAACGCTCATGTCCGAAATTGGTGCCCAGCCGCAACGACTGCCTCCGGCCGTACTGTTAGACCTCGAGATACCTTCTTCTTTTTGGCCAAATGGGTGGCCGTGGTCGGTAGCCCAAC